CCGTGGAGTTCCCTGAAAATGAGCGGGCTGGCCACTGGCTGGGGCTTTACGGAAGTGATCTCAACTTCCCAGATCCAGGGATGCTCAAGCTCGGAAGGAATCCCCAGGAAGCCAGGACTAAGAGGAAAGCTGCCCCCCCCCCCCGCCCAAAGAGACTTCTTCCCTGTCTGCACAGCCATGGAGGAGAGTGAAGCCGGGAGACTCTCCCGGACCTGCACCTGGATCCACTGTGGAGAAGTGAGTCCCGGCAGACCAGCCAGCAGCAAGTGGTGGAGGCCACAGTCTGGCAACCGCTAAAGGCTCTTTCCCTTCTCTTGCAAAGTCAGTCCTTACCGTGGATAATCTGTTTTCTGTCCGCCATCATAGCTTTGGTGTTTGGGGTGGTTAAATTTGTAATTTAGCCACCGTTATAGAAAAGAAGCCACACCCAAACCTCATTGAGAGAAACGCGCATTACTCAGAGATCCTGATTTTAGAGCTGGTCATGACTTGGATTATCTGCCTTTAGGAAGATCAAGTGCATTTTTAGTTGTAGATGGCATGGTCTCTTCATTTTAGTAGGAACATTTTAAAAAATGTCTTTTTTATTGAGGTGAAATTCACATGCCATCAATCATTTAAAAATGCACAAGTCGGTGGCACGTAGTACCTCTGCAATGTCAACCACCGCCCCTGTCAGGTAGGCGGAACGTTCGGCAAGTGCTTCCATGGGGAAAGAAGGTACACACGGACACTGGGCAGCGATGGGGGGGGACGCGCAGTGTGTCTGTCCAGCGCCCCTTGCTTTGGGGAACAGCACTGCTCCTACTCCCTGGGGTGCTGGTTGGATCTGTCAGCCCCGGTGCCACCGCCTGTCCTCACCGATGGGGGTGGACATGTGATCTATGCTACTCTCCTGGCTGTGGAGTTGGGGTCAGGGTGGGCTTGTGATCAAGCCCAGCTTCAGAACAACTGAAGTAACCCTTGGAACTTTTCTGCTAGGGACGACACCTTTAGTGAGGGTGACAATGAAAAACAAAATGGGACAATTATATGTCTCAGACCTTGAGGCTCCATGTGGGGGAGGGGTCGTTGCTAAAGGACGTGGAACTTCATATTTGGGGGCTTCCTGGGGGAAAACAATGTTCTTCCCCTGGGATTCTTTTTTTTTTTTTTTAATTTTTTAATGTTTTATTTATTTCCGAGAGAGAGAGAGAAAGAGAGAGGGGCAGTGTGAGCAGGGGAGGGGCAGAGAGAGAGGGAGACACAGAATCCGAAGCAGGCTCCAAGCTCTGAGCTGTCAGCACAGAGCCTGACGCAGGGCTTGAACCCACCAACCATGAGATCATGACCTGAGCCAAAGTCAGATGCTTAACTGACTGAGCCACCCAGGCGCCCCTTCCCCTGGGAATCTAAGCTGAGAGAATGTACACCTGAGCTGCTGGCTGCCATCTTGGAGTCTGTTTCAAGGAGGAGAGAAAGTGCCAACACAGTGGGGAGCAGACAAGAGTGATGGAGACAGTGAGGTCTGGAGCTAGCATTTGAGACCCTGGATTTACCTCGTCCTGAATCTCCAATCCTGGACTTCCCAATCGTCTCAACTCTAAACTACTGAATCCCTCTGTTGAAGCCAGTTTAGGCTGGGATTCTGTCCCGTGTGACTGAGAGTCTTGACTAATATAACAACCCACATGGAAGGTAGGTGGAAGTATCACCATTTGCTATAGATGAAGAACCTACGTGGATAGCAATCCATGATGTGGCTCTCCTGGTGGGTGTGACAAGCAGTGAATATTAAGATGGCCCAAGTGGTGAGTCACTGTGGGGTTGAGATCACCAAGCAGGATGGAAGGTGAGCCAGGTCTGGACATTAAGGAGGAGGGGCTGCAAAGGCAGGTGAAATGGTTTCAGAAGCCAACTTGTGTGGAGGACATAAGGCCTAGTGGGGTGCCGGCCGAGGGTAGACTCTCGTCTGAGTCAGATGTGTGGGAACTGAGTCTCTCCCTCGAGAGTCCCTGGGTGGAAGATGCTAGAGGAACGTTTTCAGTGAAGGAGTTGGAAGGGCCCCTGTGGTAGTCATTGGTGCTGGTGCTAAATACATCTGGTTCTCCCTGCTTTAAGGTCCTGGATCCTAATAGTTGAATGGAGCCATATGACTGTTTCCAGCTAATGAGTGACAAATGGCTATTGTCAGCATGACACTCTCCAGCGCTCTCCTTGAGATGGTGACTCTCTTCCCAGACAGGGTCCCAGAATATTCCATGAGCTCTACCCTTCTGCAGACTTGCCACAGACACATAACAGCAACAGGAAGAGAAACATTATGGGTTTTTTAAATAATATATTTAATAGATTTAATTTATAGTTGTACCATGTTCAAGTTTTTTATTGTGGTAAAATACGTACAACATAAAATTGCCATTTGAACTTTTTTTTTTTTTAATGTTTATTTATTTCTAGGAGACAGAGAGAGAGACAGCGTGAGCAGGGGAGGGTCAGAGAGAGAGGGAGTCACAGACCGAAACAGGCTCCAGGCTCTGAGCTGGCAGTCAGCACAGAGCCCGACGCGGGGCTCGAACCCACGAACCGTGAGATCATGACCTAAGCGAAAGTTGGACGCTTAACCAACTAAGCCACCCAGGCACCCCTCATTTGAACTGTTTTTAAGTGTATAGTTCAGAGGCATTAAGTACCTTCACTGTCACCACCATCCATCTCCAGCACCCTTTTATCTTCCCAAACTGAAGCTCTGTCCCGACTAAACACTAACTTCCCACTCCTCCTCACCGGCCCCTCCCACCCCCCCCGGCCCCACTTCCTGGCAACTCGTGTTCTACTTTGTCTCTATGAACTTGACCACCCTATGTACCTCATGTAAGTGGAATCACACAGTTTTTGCCCTTTGGTGTCTGACTTACTTCACTTAGCATAATGTCTCCATAGTTTGTCCATGTTGTAGCAGGTATCAGAATCTCCTTCCTTTTTAAGGCTGAATAATATTCCCCTGTATGTATATGCTACATTTACTTACCTATTCATGAACATCTTCACCTTTTGGCGACTGGAAATAAGGTTGCTATGAACATGGCTGTACAAATGTCTCTAAGAGTCTCTGCTTTCACAGAAGAGGACTTTCTGGATCATATGGTAATTCTGGGTTTTAATTTTTGTGAGGAACCACCATACTGTTTTCCACAGAACTTCTGTGATTTTAAGTCACCAAAACTTGGGGTTGTTCGTTATTGCAGGATAACCTAGCATGTCCTGACCAATGCTGCCCGTCGCCCCGGATAATCTAGGATCAACCAGGGTTCTGCAGGCCACAATGGAAGGGACAGAAGTGAGGGGTATAGGAGCCCAAAGGCTAAATCAGTCTGAGCTAGCCCTGGTGTCACGTGTGCTCAGGACCAGTAGGGTTCGCCGGCACTGATATACCTCTTCTTGGGACCACATGGGGGGTCCTTCTCATGCCAAAGACATCAAGGCCATGCTCTGGAGCCAACCCTGTAGCCACATGGTTGCTACTGGACACAAACCCCTTCTAACATAGTCAACTTGGGCCTCTTGACCCCCGCAACACAGATATCCAAGGTCACACATATCATGGGCTCCCGATGATTTCATCATGAATAGTTCTACCCAGTAGAAACTTATAGTTACCCATCTTGATCCTGAGGATTTCAGCTTGCTAAGAGTAACTTTAATTTTTTTAAAAATATGGTGTGGTGATCTGAGTCAGATGAACCAGACTTTGAATCCTGATTCTGCGGCTTCCTGACTGCATGGCTTTGGCTAAGCCTCAGTTTCTTCATTCATAGAGTGAGGATAATATAAACTACCACATGGAGTTGGCAAAGACTAAGGGAAATGTGCCAAGTCTGGTGCCTGGTATACAGGACACACTCGGTAAGCAGTCAGTATTTGGGGGCACTATTATATAAGCCTTTGAGGAAGGGAGAGGTATGGCAGCCATCTTTCTAAGCATGGTTTTCCCCTTGGCCAAGCTTTAGAGTATTTGTGGATGCCCACCTTGACGTGGAAAGCCAAGTGGCAAGGAACCTTCAATGTGTGCATTCATTCAACCGCTGTTTGTTGAGAACCTACTAGGCGCCAAGTGCTGGGCTACAGCCGTGGTTCCCATCCTCATGCAAGAACCAGCACAGGTTTCTGGAACTGGCCAGGTGGAGTCTGGGCATGTAGGGCCTGCTGTCAGTGACATGGTGGGGGGGGGATTGGGGCGCACTTGAGTGAGGCCAGGACAATTGTGTGGAGAGTGGCCTCTGACCTTGAGGCTGGGGAGTGTGTGTGTGTGGGGGGGATAAGTCTGCAGGATCTAGAAGTACTACAGAGCTTCCAGAAGGAAAACCTTTTGGATGAAAGTTCAGCTCTGTGTCTCAAAGACTTAGGTAACTATCTGTTGCTGCGCCCTCAACGGGGTGAAGCTGGTTGGAGAGAAGGGAAGAGGGGGCCTGGTTTCAGCAGCGAGGGCCTGAGTGCTCATCTTCAGTAGCCCCTGCCCACAAGTGGGAAGGTGGTTGCCTGGGGAAGGGAGCACTCCATGCCCTGGCTCAGGGAGCTCAGGGCACTGCCATGTAGCTGAAGTGCTAAGTGGGTTGGGGGTGCACAGTGGGAGGGGCTGGTGGAGGTACGAGCAGAAGTGGAGAGCCAGTCTGGGGGGCCCAGCACCAAGCCTTAGAGGTAGCGATGAGCAGAGGGTGGCTGTGCTGACGGAAGTAGACAGAGATGCCCCAAGTCAGAAACCTGGAGCCCGGAGAACTCTCTGGGAAATGAGAACAACCCCCGCAGGGAAGGGGTGAGTAAGCGTGAGGGTGGAGTGTAGGTGTGTACAGAATCTTAGAGCTGGAAGGGATCTTCAATGTCATTTAGTTCAACCTCCCACCCCACGAAGTCTTTCAGTCTTCCACTGTCCAATCGAGGGCACTCAACTCTACTTGGACGCGTCAAGGTACGGGGAGCTCACTCCCTTTAAGGGAACTCATCCTACAGAGGTGTCCGAGTCTTTAGGGCGGCCTGGATGGACCTGGCCCCCCGACCTTGGCCCTGTTGAGTGGTCTGGCCTCCACTCGGCGGCGGCGGCACCTGGCGGGGGTGGCGGGTCGGGTGGGGATTGCTGTGCTGATGGGCCGGCGCTGCTGTCCCCAGCCCCAGTGCTGAGGCAGGCAGAGTGCAGTGGGCTCTGGTGGAGGTCGGGAGAACTGCAGGGTGAAGGCCGCCGGGGGCTCCACGGGCTGCTGGGGGGAGGCACTGACACCGGCCCAGGGAGAGGAGGGGCCGCTGTCCCTGCGGCCAGTGCTGGATGCGGGGACCCAGCGCAGAGGCAGCGCCAGGTAGCGGGGCACCCCGCGGGGGGGAGGGCTGCAGCAAGGCCCCCGGCGGAGTGGCCCGGAGCGCGGCGGAGGCGAGGTGCCCAGGCCCAGCGCAGGGTCGGGGCGCTGCGGGGGTCCGGCCCTCCGTCTTGTAGCGTGCGGGGACCCCCGGCGGGGCCGCAGAGGCCGGGAAGTCGGGCCGAGGGCGCTAGGACCGGCCGCGCGCCCAGGCCGCTACCGCCGCGGCGCCCCGGGGCCCCCCAGTCGGCGCTGCCTCCCGGGCCGGCTCCGCAGCGCCGGGGCCGGGGCCAGCGCGGCCGCGGGGGGCGAGCAGCGGGCGGAGGCCTGGGCCCGCGGGCGGCCGGAGGGAGGGAAGGAGGAAGGCGGAGAGAAGGGGTGGGAGGGGGGGGACCCGGCAGAGGAGGCGGAGAGAGGGAGCGCGACAGCGAGAGCGGAGGGAGGGAGCGAGCGAGGCAGGCGGGCCGGGAGGGAGGGAGGGAGCGCGGGCGGCGGCGGCGGCGGCGAGAGCAGAGGACGAGCCGGGACGCGGCGCCGCGGCACCAGGGCGCGCAGCCGGGCCGGCCCGACCCCACCGGCCACACGGTAATGAGCGCCGCTTCTGGCGGCCCGGGAGGCCGGCCCGGAGGCGGGCGGAGAGGAGGGGAGGCCGGGCGGGGGGCACGGCGGCGGGCAGTGCCCGGCTCTGGGCACGCTCCCGGACCCCTGCAACTCGGCGCCGGGCGCTCGCGGGGCCAGGGCTGCGGGCGGGGACCGCGGGCCGGGCTGGCCAGGGCGGCGCGGGGGATTTGAGGGTTTGTTTATGTCCCCGCGGGCTCGGCAGGCGCCCCCTCCCGTCCCGCCCGCTCCCGGCGCGGAGCCCCCTCCCCGCCCCCGCCCGGCTCCGGGCTCAAGTTCAAGTCTATACAATGCCGCGGGGGGCCCCCTCCACCGCCGGCCTCAGCCGTGGTGCCCGGCTCGGCGCTGCCGCAGGGGCCCCGGCCTGGCCGCCTCCGCCTTCCGGGCCCTGCCCCCGCCCCGGGGCCCCGCCTGGGGCCTGCGGCCGGGGCGCTGGAGGGCGCGGACCCCGACCCGGAATGATCGGCTCCCGGCGCGGCCCGCAGGGAGCGGGGGAGGGGGCGGGGGCCGGGCCCCGCGCAGGCTCCGCGGCGGCGGCAGAAAATGGCAGCCTGGCACGACCCGGCCCCCCGCCCCTCCCCCCGGCTCCCGGCCCTCCTCGGCCCGGCGGGGCGGGGGACCCGGGAGGCCCCCGGGGGCGGGCCGAGGGGTGATCCGGAGGCCGGGCCGAGAAGCGCTGCGCTCCGATCCTCCTCCGGCCACCTGTGGCTGGGGGTGCGGGGTGCCAGCGGATCTGGGAGGGGCGGCGGGGGTGGGGAGAGTGCCACTTGGGGGGCACACCTCCCCGCGGAGGGCCGCGCTGCGCGCGGGGGGGACGTCGTGCCTGGCTCCTCCCTGCCCCCGCCGCGGGCCGTGGGAGCCGGGGCGGCGGCGGCGGTGGCGGCGGCGGCGGCGGCGGTGGCGGTGGCGGCGGCGCCGCAGTGTGGGGGCGGGGCGGGGGCGGGCGAAGATCCCGGGCCCGGGCCGCGGGGGCCGGAAAACGCGGGGATGGGAGCTGCGGGCCGGGGCCGGGAGCGGCGCGGGTGGGGGCGCCCAGGGTCGCCCCCTGCAGCAGCACCCCCAGTCGCACACACTCACACGCACGCGGACACACTCACGCACACGCACCCCCGCTGGGCCGGTGCAGACGTGTCCTTGAAAGCTTCGCATCTGCACAGTGAAGGACGAGGCCTCGCAGAGGCTGCAGAGCGGGGTCTTCGGCCCCGCGACCCGGGAGACCCCGAGCTTCGGAGCCGCAGGCGGCCGCGGTCGGTGTCCCGCCCTCACCCCGGCTCCCCTCCCCCAGGCCGCCCTGCCCTCCCTCCCCCTCTGCGCGGACCGAGCTGGCTTGGGTCCAGGGCCCGCCCCCGGCCTCCCCCAGCCCCCCATCGCTGGGGCCCACGGCCCTCGGGCTGCCAAACTGCATTTCGCTTTCCTGGAACCTCCCTTCTTGGGGGCACCCACTTCCCTCACTCCCCCCTCTGTGATTTCCCACTTTTCTCTCCATCCCCAGCGTCCTTCCACCTCTCCACTGCAAAGCCAGTTGAGTAGGTGTTGCTGCCCTGGAAGGGGGGCGGGGGGCCCGCCGAGTCTCAGGGGCTTTCTTACCCCACCCCCACCCCCGCTCCTGAGGGGAGCCCCCTGTGGCTGCACCTTGACCCAAGATGGCGTCCAGCACCCAGCTGGGCAGCTCCGGCCCAGGGCGAGGGAGGGAGGGCCGGGGCCCCAGAGCCACGCCACGAGCCCCCTCCCAAACCGGCAGGGCCCGGGGCCTGGGCGAGAAGCGCCCTCTGCCCTGTGACCCAGCTTGCCCCCTCGCCTCCGTGCCCAGAGACTGCCATCAGCATCCCTGGGGGCCTGTTCAGTCTTCATGTTTCACCCTGGGCTTGCCAGCGGCTGAACCGGCCTCCGGCCTCCCGGGCTGGCGGGCTGCGAAGGGATCCTGGGATCAGGTGCTGCTCTGCTGTGCCTCCTCCCTTCCAGGCAGATGTGACAGCTGCAGCCAGGGAAGCTTTTTCCTCAGGCGTTGCTGGAGTGTTAGGACTGGCCTGTGGGATTTGGGGAGCCCAGCTGTCAGGCGGAGGGACCCTCTTTGGGCTGTCCTCCCTGCTGGCGGGGGCGGTCTTCCGGCGGTTGAATGAGCCTCCTGGGTTTGGGGGCTTGCGTTGGCAGAGGGAGGGCGTCCCTGCCAGGTTTCTGGGGTAAGGTGGTCCCGCGCGGCCTCCAGGTCCCGCTAAGCCCCTGGCTGGGCTGTTTGACAGGCAACTGTGTGAAAGTGCGGGTATGCGTGTGTGCACATGTGTGTGCACGCGCTGCACCCAGGCAGGGGCCCCTAAACTTGTGCGGCAGGTCTGGCACCTGTGCGCCTCCCTCCCTTCCCGGGCCCCACTTCTTCGGGCCCGGCTCCCTCTCTGCGCTCTTGTCCAGCTGTTTGGTGCCTGTCTGCAGCTACTCCTCAAATGCGCGGCTCCCAGCTCAGGCTGACCCGGGCTCTCCAGGTTTTCCATCCCCGGCGTGGTGGGCTGCAGAAGGAGGCTGGCCTTAGAAAGGTGAATTCCTTCTAGATTTGCCGAGTGTCGGTGCACAGTGCAAGGACTGCTCCCCCCGCCCCCCCCCAGCAGTGGAGAGGACGACCTGACTGTGGCCATCTGTCAGGGTGTCTGCGGACAGGATTCCTCTGTGGGGTGGGGGTTGGACTGGAGCTTGGAGGTCCATTCCAACTTTGAAATTCTATGGCTCTGATTCTAGTGGTGGAATTTCAGACCCAGGAATGGGGGCGGGGTGGTCTGTTTTCACCACCCGGGCCGGGCTGTAAGGCGGGCGGTAAGGCCGGCTGCGGGTAATCCGGAAAGGCTCCCAAGGAGAGGAGGTCTGAGAGAGCAAGGCCTCCTGGGGGAGGGGCCTTTGAAAGGAGGAGGTGGCGCGAAGGGTGGGGGCCCTGCAGGGAGACAGGTTTGTCACAGGTGACTCCACAGAGGCTGTAAAAATACAGCCTCCAGTTAAACCTTCACACATGTGTGATTTACGTGTAAATCTGTGTGCGTACATAATCTCTGTGGTCCCCCCCCCCCCGGCCAAGTGCAATTCACGATATGCTCTTGAGTCCCTTGTGGGTATTGTCCTATCACAGTCACACACATCACTGCTGGTGGTCCTCTGAAAAAAGCCACAAGGGAGACAGGACTTACAGAACACTTGCCCAGGGTGGCCTGGCCCCTGGGGAACTTACACTGTGCCCCGCTCCAGCTCTCCGGGGCTGCTGCCCTGTGTGACGGTCTCTCCCGTAAGCCTGTGGTCTCCACAGGCAAGGACCTTGACTTGGCTGCCTCTGGGCCCCATCAAACGTTCAGTGGGGCCTCCAGCGGTGTCTGCTGAATGGCGGGGGAGCTTGCTCACCCATCTGTGGTTTTGGCCCCTGTCCCCCTCCCTAGTGGTGGCCAGGCAAGGCTGCGTTTGTCGGGAAGCACAGAGATTCCTCAGATTGGTCTCACTGGCTCCTAAATGGGTAAATTAAGACTAGACCACTCACTCCCCATCCTTGGGCCCAAAAATGTTACCATTAGAATCCAGGCCTTACAGTTTAGGGTTGAAAGAGAACTTTAAGCTCTGAGAACACTTAGAGCCAGTTGGGGGCTGGGGTTGGAAGTGCTACCCAGAGCCTGAGGGCAGAAGAGCCAATAGTGTGCCTGGCCTGTCACGTGGCTCCTTCACTCGTCACTTCCTGCTGCCTGTGGGAGCCTAGGGTCCCTGACTCGGTGTCCGGAGCCCTTGGGAATTGTTTCCACTTCCATTTTGGTATCTAACAGTGGAGTCCGTCAGGAGCCTCCACCTGCCCTTTGAGGCTGGGCATCCCTATGGGCCTGTGCTTTGCCACTCCTGGGGGCTTTCATGGTAAACTAAGGTGCCAGATTCAGTTCCCTGCAAATCGTAAGGGCTGGCTTATAGTCCTTTCTCTCTTTAACTGTTTTTCCCTAAAAAAACAAAAAAAACCAAAAAACCACACACACACACACACACACACACACAAATTTGAGACCCATGAAGTGTCATAGATGTGTGTGTGTGTGTGTGTGTGTGTGTGTGTGTGTGTTCAAGCCTGCCTCCACTTGGCTGCGTGTTCTGGGTAAGAGAGGGTGGGGTGCACGTGTGTCTGTGTGTACTTCTGTGTCCACAGTGTGCAGCCGCAGGGGGTGAGATATGACTTGACTTGCTTAGACATGAGCTTGTTTCGAGGCAGCTGGAGTGAGGCCCCCGGAGTCAGATGCTTCTCTGCCGTGAGATCTGGGGCAGTTAACTTAATTTCCCTGTGCCTCAGTTTCCTCACCTGTAACATGGAAATGAGACTAGGCTCTCACCAAGGTTGTTGCGAGGATTCCAGGAGAGACTGTGCCCTGTGCCCTCAGCCAAGTGTCCGGGCTCAGCGGGAGGCGGCTGTGCCTGTCTTCATCACGTGGGCAGCTCGGGTGGACCCGCGCCGCGCGGAAGCGCGGAAGTGCTCGCCGAAGCCTTGTCCGCCCTCCTCTTTTGCCTCTTTTGCAAAACCTTGGACAAAGGAGGAAAGCGCCAATTCTGATTGGATAAGCTTCAGAGGTGGAGGCCCCTCAGTGCCACTTAGCTGTCTGTTCCGAGTGGGACAGGTCACATTGTCAACAGGTTGTCCTTGTGCCCACCTCCAAGCCTTCACGCCCTAGTTCCGGGCTTTATTCTGATCACGTCTCCAGTGCCCCATGTTTGCTTGCTGAGCATTTCCCGTGGGCAGGGGCCTGCGCTGGGATCTGAGGAAACACAGAGTGAGTCTACGATGAGCCCAATTAATTAATGACCGCAGACCCCAGGTCACAGGAGAGGGAGAAATAAAGTGCTCAAAGGACGGTGAGGTCACAACCAACTGAGGGGATCCGGGAAGGCTTCCTGAGGGTGGCACCTGAGATGGGCCTCAAAGCACCGAGGTGGGGCTTCCAGACTGAGGGGAGGAAGCCAGGCTGTAGGGGGTGGGGGGTGGCTGGAGTGTAGAAAAGCCCCTGGGGTGTGGGGTGGGGCCTCCGGTGTGTGGGGGGCCAGGCTGAGGCCCCACATTGGTTTGGGGAGAGCGGCCCCTGTGCTCTAACGCCTGCGTGGCCTGTGGACAATGGCTTTGAACTGCCCTGCTTGTAGTGGCTTTGCAGGGTGGGGTGGGGAGAAGACAGGGACGGAAGGGAGGGCAGGGAAGGGCCCAGCTGATCTCAGTTGCTATAGGCTCTTAATTCCTTTATATTCCATAGACTAGAGCTTAAGAGCTCAGACTCAGAGGGAAACAGAACATATTTAAATCACCCCAACCCCAGGGGGCTGCGGCCATGAAGGGAAACACCAGTCAGGGTAAGGATCACATGCCAGTGACAGCAACCATGGTATGAATGGGGAGGAGGAGGGTCCCTTGTTTGGCCTCCCATGGCTTCCCCTAACCCAGGCTGAGGTGCTCCAGCCTCCAGAACATTCCTGCAAGGGACTGCCAGTAGGAGGGAGATGGGGGCAGCAGAAGCTGACTCTGCCCTTCCGACCAGGCTCCCTCCCCTGCATGCCACTGAGCTGAGCCCAAAGCCCCCAGCTGGGGGCGACCTGGGCGTGGCTACAGGTGTCTGGCAGCCCCCAGCAAGGACAGCCAGTGCTCAGGGCCCTCCAGGCCACATCTCCCTTGCTGATCACATCCAGGCCAGGCCTGTCTGGAGGACAGCGACAGGGGGAGGAGGTGCAGACGTCTGGGGCTTTCCTAACTGCATCCCAGTAGGGAGTGGAATTTTTTTTTTTTTCAGCCATAGCTTGGCATTGTCCACTCCCATCCTGCTGCGGTCCCCTCTGACCCCTAAGGCTTCCCAGCCTTATTTACTTCTATAACCAGTTTCCTATTTTCTCTTTCCTGCGGTCATGGCCCTGCTCACTGTCATCCCTATTGATCTTTCCTCTCTGCTTCCGTTTCAAATGTCAAGGTCATTTTTATTCTGAGCCAGTTTTTAGCTGCCCTGTCTGGGTACACCGAGGGGACGGAGGACCATCTCAACTAGGAAGCGCAAGGTCAGAACTCAGATGTCCTGACTCTTAGTCTAGTACTCTGCCTCCTGTGCTGTGTGGCTGGATGTGAGTTTGGTGCAGATGTTCTGGACCTAATAGACCACCCAGATCCCTGTGTTCCGGTGGTCCTTACTTGAACAGGTGAAAAGATGCTCAGAGGGGACACAGTGGGACAATGGGGTCAGATCTGTGGCTTACAGAGCCCTGGATGGGGCATGGGCCATGTCACAGTGAATGTTTGGGAATGCTTGGGCTTGGGGCTCTGGAAGTCTGCCTCCCCTAGACGGTCCCCAGAGGATCCTGGGTGGGGGGAGGGGAGGCCACACAGGCTGCACCTGGCAGTGGAGTTCTGCTACACTCCAACAAACAGCGCCCGTTGGACAGGGGCTTCTAGAGGGAATGGTCCTGTGTGATTAACTTTAGAAATCCCAAAAATACATTTGTGGATAAAGAGGAATCTATTTAGATTTTCCTAAGCCTTTAAATGAGGCAGTAGCATGGCTACTCTGATGTGTTCAATGTCCATGATACAGTGTTGGGTTACCCACGAACGCAAGATGCGGAACGTGCTCTTGTTTTTGCAAAATCCTTTAAAATAAATACAAGTGTACACGGACAGAAAAAGTTGTTCTGGAAAGACACACGGCAGACCTGTCAGCAACGACTTTGCCTTTTTACTTTATATACTTTGTACGTTTTTGTAATCTTTGGAAAAATGTAAACGCACATGTGTTGCTTTCTTAATGACAACAACAAAAATAAATAAAACCACACTTTTGAAAGCTTCTGGATAAGAATATGAAAAAAATTGAGTCCTGCAAGAGCTGAAGGATGGCTTTTTTTTTTTTTTTGGTAATGGTGGATAAGATACGAGCTTGGAGGCTGACGGCAAAGGATAGAGCCACTCAGGTACCTGTCTTTTCTGGAAAGGTTGCCGGAAGAAATATTGCAGACACAATATTTGTGCAGACACAAAGGCCTGGGCTAATAGGGATTGGGTGAGAGTGGAAAATAGGCAGCTGGTCCATGCCAGGGCCAGGGGACCACACTAGCTTTCTAGGGCGGTGACTAGAACTCTCAGTTCACCCAGGATGGGAAGCAAATTGTTGAAGATCTTCACAGAAGGCTTCAATCTGGTGCTTGTTGTGGCCCAAGTGGTCCCCTGGGAACTGGGGGTATAACTGTGGCCTGGTCCCAGTATGGAGCTCAGGTGAGCAAGCCCTGGCATAGCATGGACAGCGTGGGAAGCAGCACAGGGAGGACCAGATAGGGCTTCAGGAGGCCCCCAAAAGGGATGGAAGGGGCTCTGGAGAACTCCCCCAGCGTGTGGGCTCACGCCGTGGCCAGCTCTGTGATCTGCAGGCCCGTGAGTGGGTGGCAGTGGCCCCGGTGATGGAGGGGAGAGGTGAGCAAAGGCAGATACAAATCCCTCTGCCTGTTGCTTGGCAACAGCACCCACCTTCCCCTTCCACAGCCTCCTCCCCCAGCCCTGCCCCCCACCCGTGGGTGCCCTCTTGGGATTTGCTTTCCACTCTGAGGCTGCCCCCATTTAACATGACATGGGAAGGGGTGTGCATCCTTGTTTGTCTCGGCCCCGCCCCTGGATTAAGGCAGGAAGATAAATACCATAACGGTAACAGGCTGCAAGCATGTAAGCAGGCACAGAGTGAGTCCCTCTGAGTGAGTCCCTCTGCCACACCCCCGCCCCTCAGCCCCAGGCTGGTAGCAGACAGATGTGCTGGGCAAAGGGGAGCCGGGGCAGGCGGGAGGCGGGCAGACCTCAGTGGGCATCTCAACCCTGCCACCACTCACTCACCGCGGGCCCTCGATGTCTCTGTGCTGTAGGCCTTGCGTCTGGCGAGATGCAGGGAGGGCCACCTCCCACTGGCCCCGTGTTGCCCGAATCGAATGAAATACTCTGTGAAAACCAGCTGGCACTGTCCCCGACGCGTCGGAGCTGGTGAGGAGATAGGAGTTCTTTTCTTTAAGCGGGGTCATGACAGGGCTGCGTGAGGGTGAGTGTGGGGACCGGGTGAGATGACCCCTGTGAAGGCGTTGTTGCTCTGTACGATCCTACAGATGTTGTCTGTCTTCCTCGCTGTGGGGGTGTCACCTCCCCTGGAAAACCAGGATTCATCAGTTGATCTGTGAGCCCTCTGGCCCGGGCCGCCTGCTCTCTGGGCCTTTGATCTTGATGCACTAACTTCAATCTTGTGAGAGTCCATGCCCACTAGGGACCTCGCAGGGCCCCTAAGCCCCCGGCCTCTCTCTCCCCCCACCACGCCCCCCAC